CTTCAGCCTGGGTGACAGGGTGAGACTCCACATCCCCCACCCCAGAAAAAGAAAGAAGTTAATTAGCTGATAAAACTGTTAAGTCCAGGGATAGATCTGCTGGCTTCACATATGGCTTGATCCCGAAGTTCAAATGACATTATCAACACTGGGTATTTGTCTCTCTCTTTCTCCACATATAAGGCCCAGGTCTCTATGTGGTGGCCGTAAACAGTTCTAGGACTATATTTGCCCTATTTGGGCTGCCTTTATGGGAAAAAAGAACTTTTCTGTCTCAGTAGTTTCAGTGATTATTCTATAATGGAGTCTTACTGGACTAACTGGGTCATGTGCTTCTCCCTGAACCAATTACTATAGCCTCTAGAATTGGACGTTGTATCAGTTTCTTACATACAGCAGCTGCCATAACAAATTACCAACCCTGGATGGCATAAAACAGTAGAAATTTTATTCCCTCATAGTTCTGGAGGTGAGGCTGTGTTCCTTCCAAAGACTCTAGCACAGAAACTGTTCCAGCTTCCTGTGCATGGAGACATCCTTGGCTTGTGGCCCCATACCCCAGTCTCAGCCCTCTGTAGTCACATTGCCTCCTATTTTCTGTCTCAAAACTCCCATTACCTTTCTCTTATAAGGACACTTACGGTTTATTTATAGCCTACCCAGATAATCCAGGATAAGCACCCCCTCTCTCCATCCTTAACTTAATTACATACTTTGCCATAGAAGATAATATTTAAAGATTCTGGGGATTACAGCATGAATATATCTTTGGCGGAGGGCAACTGTTCAGTTTACCATAGATATTTAGGATTGAAAAGTCAGTGAGAAATAGTTCTCCAAAAAAATGATGATGTTGGTATCTGAAAAAGGAAATAATGGATGCTAGAAGGAAAATGCAGCAAGATATTTACAACAAATACTTTTTAGTCTGTTCAATTCAATTAATTTCATGCAGTTTACCCTTGAATAATTTAAGGGGTTAGGAACACCCCCATCTCTGCACAGTTGGAAATCTGCATTTGACTTTGACTCCCCAAAAAAATTAACTACTGATAGCCTACTGTTTACTGATAGCCTTACTGATAACATAAACAGTTGATTAACACATATTTTGCATGTTATATGTATTATATACTTTTTTTTTTTTTTTTTTTTTTTTTTTTTTTTTTTTTTTGAGATGGAGTTTCGCTCTTGTTACCCAGGCTGGAGTGCAATGGCGCGATCTCGGCTCACCGCAACCTCCACTTCCTGGGTTCAGGCAATTCTCCTGCTTCAGCCTCCTGAGTAGCTGGGATTACAGGCACGCGCCACCATGCCCAGCTAATTTTTTGTATTTTTAGTAGAGACGGGGTTTCACCATGTTGACCCAGGATGGTCTCGATCTCTTGACCTCGTGATCCACCCGCCTCGGCCTCCCAAAGTGCTGGGATTACAGGCTTGAGCCACCGCGCCCGGCCTTATATACTGTTTTTTACAACAAAGAAAGCTAGAGAAAAGGTGGCAGAATTTAAGAGCAATGAACTAGGATATCTAGCAGAAGAAATATCAAAGCAGCAAAGCATTCAAGGTGCTGCATGGGTTCTTTTGGCAGCTTACAGTAAAATTAGAGATAAATGATTAAAAGATATTTTTCTTACTTTTTTTTTTTTTTTTAGAGAGACGAGGTTTCACCAAGTTGGCCAGGATGGTCTCAATCTCTTGACCTCATGATTCCCCCACCTCGGCCTCCCAAAATCCTGGGATTACAGGCTTAAGCCACTGCGCTCGGCCTAAAAGATGAAATTTATAATCAAAAAGGAAGCAGAAAGTAAAAATTTTAAAAATTTTCAGCCTGGCCAAGAGTGCAAAGGCATATTTGGGAGAGCCTTGTGAGAATTTAAGGTCCTTGTAGGGATGTGGTCCAGTGAATCCCTTGCTGAAGAGATTACTGTGGATAGAAGGGAGCCAGGTGCTACTCATCAAGACAAGAAAGACCCCAATGGCACTTCAGAGATTTTTTTATGTTGCGCCTTCCATCACAGGCACAGAGCAGGACCTTGAAGGCAAGGTTTCCAGAGAGGTGGCCACAGGGCCTCAGCATTTGCTACTTGGCTTTGCCTCAAGTATCTGCTCACAATTCCAGCACAGCCCTCCACAGCTGCTGCAGCTGTGTGGCTCAAGTGGGCCCAGGTGTTGCTTGGGCTGCTGTTCCAGAGGGCGCAAGTGGTGGGCCTTGGCAACGTCCATGTGGTACCAATTCTGAAGGTGCACAGAGTTCACCAGCTGTGGGGCTATGGCAGCCTCCACCTAGATTCCAAAGAATGTACTGGACAGCCTGGGAACCCAGGCAAAAACTTGCCACAGGGGCAGAGCTGCCACAGCAAGTCTCCACCAGGGCAATGCCTAGTGAGCCATGGGAGCAAAGCCATGGCAGGAACCACCACTAGGACAATGCCCAATAGAGCTGTGGGGTTGGGGCTGTCCCAGAGCCCCCTGAAATGTAGAGCTACCATTGTGCAACACAGCTTGGAAGAGCTTCAGGCGTGAGACTACAAACCATGAGGCTGTGACATGTCTGCGCGAAGTCATACAGATGGGGCAGCCCAAGACCTTGGGGGCCCAACCCCCACCTCAGTATGTTTACAAGGTGATACATAGTCAAGAAAGACTATTCTGGGGCTTTGGGATTTAATGTTGTTTTCCCGCTGGGTTTTGGACTTATTTGGGACCAGTTACCCATCTTTTCTTACCTATTTTTCCCTTTCGGAATGTGAATGCCTACACCGTGCCTGTGCCACCACTGTATTTTGGAAGTAATTTGTCTTCATTTCAGAGGCTTAGTGCTGGAAGAAATTTGACTTAGGAGGAATTGTGCCTTGTGTCTTGCCCATATCTGATTTAGATGAGACTCTGGACTTTCCAGTTGGTCCTGGAATGAGTGAAGACGTTAGGGCTGCCAAGACGTTAGGGCTGCCAGGAGCAGTGTCTCATGTCTATAATCCCAGCATTCTGGGAGGCTGAGGCGGGTGGGTTGCTTGAGCCCAGGAGTTTGAGACCAGCCTGAGCCACATGTCTAAACCTCATCTCCACAAAAAATACAAAAAAATTAGCTGGGCATGATGGGCATGCACCTGTAGTCCCAGTTGCTCAGAAGGCTAAGATGGGAGAATCACCTGAGCTCATGAGGTTGAGGCTATAGTGCATGATTGTGCCACTGCACTCCAGCCTGAGAGACAGAGTAAAACTCTGTGGGAAAAAAAAAAAAAAAAAAAGCCTTTAGGGCTGTTGGGATGGAATAAATGTACTTTCCATACGAGAAGGATATGAACTGGTGTGGGGGAGCATAGAAGCAGAATGCTACTGTTGGAATGGCCCTTGCTGGATGCCAGTGCCTTGGTATTAGACATCCCAGCCTTCAGAACTATGAGAAATAAATTTCTTTTATATATGAATTATCCAGTCTGTGGAATTCTGTTATAGCAATACGAAATGGACTAAAACATGAGGGGGAGGAGGATTAATAGGAAAAACATGGATGCTTCCTTCTACCAACCACTGCAGCCCCAACCAACTGAATTTTTAGGGCCAGCAACTGATTCGGTTCTTTAAAGGTAAATTATGTATGTAGACATACATAAAAATGCATCTTAAAATTTTCGACTTTTGTCATAAAGAACTAATTCATCTTCAATTAAAATATAGCTCATTCAGCAAGCTGCCTTAGAACCTAGACATATTGACCTGTTCCATAAAGTGTTTAGGAATCTCTGAGTCAGTAATTACTTGCTGATAAATGAAAGACTAATAAAGACCCTCCTTAGAGGCAAATGATATAGAAATTATGGTCCACCAGTCTAAGAATGCAAACTATACTAGGAAAGCTAAAATGGGCAATAAAGAGAATTTCCTGTACCTGTCTCTTACTATGGTTATTTAAGCTCACTAGATGATCAGGGCAAAGTGATGCAAGTCAAGTCTGCAAAACCAGGGCTGACACAGCCTCAGCTTCTGAGTGCTTGGTCTGACTCTGCAACAGTTTAACAATTGCAGGTAACAAAAGTATCACTTTGGAATACAGAGAACATTCCTCTAAAGGGGTCATGTATTGTCAGTGCCTAACTCAGCTAAGAGATTTTGGCTCATAAAGATACGTTAACTGCAGTTAAGGCGCTCCATGCTCAGGTGGCAGTAAAGTATCTTGATCACCTTTTACAAGGTCACTCTTTGTTCTGGTTAAAACCAATTTCAGCTGTGAGCATTCCTTTAGGAGTTCATGTATTTACTTCTTTGTTTTTTATTGTCGGGATTTGGGAGAGGTGCAGAGGAGTTTCCTTTCTCAGACACCAGAGCCAACAAGATGTGAATCTAGGAAAACTGTTCGCAGTCTTGGCTGTATACTGTATTAAAATTATCTGGAAAGCTCAAAACAAACAAAGAAATATCAAGTTCAGTTTGAACTCTGGAGGTGGGACCCCGGTATCTAACCACTCTAAAAGCTCCCCAAATTAACTCGAATGTATGGCAGGTGCTGCCAGAGTTAAGAACCATTGCTTTAGAATTTTCTAGCATGGTTTCCCTGTAGGTCATTAGTTTTGCGGCATCCTTCCCGGGAGGTACGGCCTCAGTGCTTCTCAAACATCAGTGCGCCCGAGCGTCACCTGAGGCACTGTTTCAAATGCAGCTGCCCGGGCTAGCAGATCACACCCGAAGGCTTCCAGGAATCTTCACTTTTTCGGTTGGAAGTAGCGGAAGGGTCACAGGCCAAACGCTAAGGCCTGAGCAGTGACAACCGAGGCAAGATGATGGTCAACTGGGAATGCCTCGAGGGAGAAAAAAGACAATTTTGTGAGTATAGACCCCCTAAAAACCTGTTTTCTGTTGGCTTCCCCCTCCTCTGGGCAGTTTTGACCCAGACGACTTTATAAAGAAGGTGACGTGAGTGTGCCCAGGGGTGTGGCGCAGGGTGTGGGCTGTTCGGGAACATTCCCTCGGGGCGGAACGTGGGGCGGGCGTTCCCCCGCAGGTACCCTTCCCCACCGCCGCTTCCCCGCTCCGCTGCTCAGGCGCCAGCTCCCGAGCGGAAGGGGCGCCGGGGTGGCCCGGGCAGGCGCAGCGCCCGGCGGCGGGAAGGGGGCGCACGCTGGCGTTCCTGCTCTCGCCGAGGGGCGGCCGCTAACCGAAAGCGCGCACCGCGGAGCCGGGAGTCCGCGCGGCCCCGGTATCGCCCCTCCGCGCTCGCGGCGCCGCCTCCTCCCTTCGCGCCGCCGGCGTTGCCCGGGGGCGGGGCCTCTCCGCTGCGGAGGCCGGGGACGCGGCGGCGCTGGGCGCGGGTAGCACGGCGGAGCCGGCCGGCGGCGGAGGCGGCGGCGCAGAGCGGCCCGGGCGGCCTCGTAGCGGGGCCCCGCATCGCCGAGAGCGGCCGGAGCCGCAGAAAGAGGTGAGTGGGCGGTGCGCGGCCCGAACCGCGGTCCCTCCCTTCCTCCCTCTGCCCCGGGCCCGTGCCCCGCGCCCCGAGACCTCGCGTCGGTCCCCGGACCCTCCCCGCGGCTTGCGCCGGGGCTGCCGCCTTCGCTGGCTGCGCTCGCGGCTGGCTCCGCACCTTCCCGCACCGAGCAGCCCGCAGCCGCCGGGGCCCCTCGGCTCGCTCCCCAAGGCCGGGCGCGCGCCCCCCTGGCCCTGCGCTGAGGGGCCTCGCGAGGATTCTGTGCCCTGCAGTCTCAGGCGATGCGGGGCCTTTCTTTTTGTTGTGAGCTTTGTCACGCGCGTCGGCATCCAAAGTCAAAAGCGTGCGCCCCCAAAGTCGCACTAGTTCCAGTTCTGCGGCGTGATTTGCACGAGGCGCGGAGGGTTAGCCGAGGCGCGAGCCTCTCCGCTCCCGCCGCCTCTTCCTTCCCTGCAGCCCCAGGCGCACTCCGGCCGCCGCGGGGTCCACGTTGCCGCGGGGCCTCCTGGCTGGTGACCCCGGAGCTTGGCGTCCTGTTGTCCCGCCGCGCGGCCAGAGCGCGGCTGCAGCCGGTTCTGGCGGATGCTCGGGGTTTTCCCGCATACCTGCGTTTCCACCCTTGCCAGCGTGGAGGTTCCACACAACTTTGCCCTGCTGTAAAAATCACATCCTATTTAATATTTTGTTTGCTTTCATTCAGGTCCTATTTAATATTTTTAATGATTTGTTTTTAAGCAGCAAAATGCGAAGAATACCAATTTTGATGAGTATTTTTTTTAGCAGAATTTAAGAATTCTTATATTTGAAATACCATAATGATGCTGGGCAATTTCAGATGTCCCGTAGCCAGATATGCAAAACTAAACTTGTGTGACTTTCACAGTTTTGAGGTTTCCTTTGTCTGATTTGGTGTCCCTAGGCCCTACATTATGCAAATTATTGAGGAACATTTCTAGGCCTGGATTAGTGAGGTGTACAATCACCTGATGAAGTATTTAGCAGGGCTTGAGTGTCTTTGTTTAGCTTGTGGCCATCAGATTGGCTCAATTCTCACAGTTTTACTATTTCTGAATTTTGGAGGTCATGGGCCAATCTCTTGTGGGTTTTTGTGGGTCTCCAAAGGCATCCTGGCTTCTTCCAGTTGTGTTACAAAAGATGAAGCTAAGCTCATGCTATTGGAAAGAATACTTTTACTTTCTTTCCAGATAGAAACTAGCAGCTTGCTAAGACTTATGTTCTTAGGCCAGACACTCAATTCTTAAGGGGTCTGTGAACAAAAAGCAACTGAATTCTTAGGATGTTTTAAAGAGGTTAGCTTTTAAGACATATTTTGTTCTCCTATGGAGAGGTTATCCAATTTTCACTTTTTTTTTTAAAAGTTTGTTTTACACAAAAAATGAAATAAAGAGGAAAGGAATGCTGAGGGTAGGGCCAGGAGATTGTGGTGACTTGGAAATTAGGGGCTAAGGATACCATCTGCTTCCTAATTGCTGGTTTAGGTCCAGTTATTGATGGGAAATGAAAAGATTTTGGATTGACATTCCACTCGCTTTTGCTGCTGCTGTTGTTGTTGTTGTTGTTGTTGAAGATTGGGCAGAAACAGCAGTTAGGCCTGGGGCTACCCGGGCTTATATATTTGGCCACCTTCCCCAGGAGCGGGGAACTGTTACCCTTATCCTGTGCAAGTGCGAGCTGGATTTCTGCATTGGAACTACAAAGGGCGGAACCTGGGGAAAATGCCTCTGTGTGGACCAGTGGGGAGGGTGGAGCATCACTTTAGGCAGGTGCGCTGAGCAGGAGACAGGTGTCAGTTGATGGGCAGTGTTGGTGCAAGGGAGCTTGAGGTCCAGCCCTTTTTCTCAAAGGACCTGGGGTGGCCATTGTGGCGGGGGGAGGGGGTGTTCTGTGCCTTTGGCTTAAATTCTGCAGCATTATTACTGTTTTTTCTTTTTTTTTAAAAAAAAAAGTTGCTCCATGAAAAAAGATACATTTCTTTTTCAGTGACCTAATGTGAGAAATAACCTCTGTAATTGGGTTTTTCTTTAAAGCACTTCTATTTTTGTAAAACAAAACAAGTTTTTAAACATTTGTTAAAAAAAAAAAAAAAAAGAAGGAATGGTCCTACTATATTTTTGCCCTCACCTTAGAAAAAGGTGAATATTTCACTTGCTCCCCAAAAACTGTTTACTTAAAGATCATGGTTTTCTGGACTTTTCAAGTTATTGATGAAGTTACATTAAAAGGGAGACTTGTCCCCAAATTTACGAAGTATTCCTTAAATCTCCAGAGAGTTTCCTTTCCTTCACATAGATATTTCTCACACTTTCAGGGAAAAAGGTCCATGCCTTCTCAGATTTTAACATTTTGATCTTACTTTCCTTTAAAACCTTTAAGCGTTTTATTAATAGGAGTCCCCCTTGCTAAGATTTTGAAGATTAATTAGTGCCTGACAGAAAAAAATACATATATAAATACTGTATGATTCTAGTTGTTGATATTGTAATTTGCTATTGTTTCTCAACTTTTTTGATGTTTCTCATTAGTAGTAAAACTTTTTAAAACACTCTCCTATATGGGCATTTGTTGCTTATTTATAAATTACATGCATTTGTTGTTATAGTTATATTGTATCTCAAGGCCCAGTATACACATTGGGCTGGATTCATTGTTAATAACATTAGAGGTGGAAACCCCCTGTTTTAAATACTTTCTCTTAACTTTTAAGTATTTTGGGCCTGTGTCTTGTCAGATCTGATTATATCACCATAGTTTCTGTCTCATCATGTATGTCATGCAAGGCTTTCTCAGTACAGAGCTTTGCCAGCCATGGCCTTGTGCTCTCCTGTGTTTGCGTTTATTAGTAAACAGATCTCTGATTTGGTGGGTCAGGGGTGGGCCACAAAATTTGCATTTCTGACACATTCCAAGGTGATGCTGATGCTGCTAATGTGGGGACCACACTTTAAGAAACATCGAGCTACAGCAGGAATTGGCAACCTGTTTCTGAAAAGGACCAGATACTGTTGTAGGTGTTGCAGACCCTATGGTCTCTGTCACAACTACTCAGCTCTGCTGTTATAGCCCAATCCCACAGAAAAAAATATAAATGAATGGGCATGGTTGTGTTCCAGTAAAACTTTATGGATACCAAAGTTTTAGTATCATGTAATTTTGATGTGTCATGAGATATTCTTTCATTTCCAAACCAAAAAAAAAAAAAAAACCTATCTATTGAGCAATTATTTGGTGTGTGCTGTATTGCCATTGTAGCTTTTAATCCTAACAACAAAAGGTTTTAGAAATGTAAAGTCTCATGTGACTGCATCCTAGAACTTGGTGATAATAGTAAGCCTACTTCAGTGGACTTTTACAAGGATTGAATAAGATACAGAGAGATTGTACAACTCACCAAAATTTATGCAAATAATAAAGCTAGGATTGAAACTCCATTTGGCCTGCCCCCGTCAATGCTCTTTTCCTGAGCCACACTGCCTCAGCAGTACCGCTAAGGAACCACTCAGCATGTAGCTGAACTGACATCTAGTATCACTTCGTGGCATCCAGATTCTCCAAGGACCACTGAACCAGCAGTCCCCTGCCAGGTCAGTCTCCATCCCTCTATCAGTAGGTCTGTGTGGGGCTTGAGGAACACTGCAAGTTTCAGCTGGTTCTCAGTTCTCCTTGGTTTTCAGCCCTGCTGGCTCTTTTGGGTCTTCTCCGCACACACATCATCTTCCAGCCAGCCAGGGATATGTGGAGAATTTATCTCAGCCCTTTGTAGTTGTAGCACTCTCTTATGAAATATTATTATTTTAATTTTTTTCAACCATTGAAAATGTAAAAACTGGTTGCAGTGGCTCACTCCTGTAATCCCAGCATTTTGGGAGGCTGAAGTGGGCGGATCACTTGAAGTCAACAGTTTGAGACCACTCTGGCCAACATGGTGAAACCCCGTCTCTACTTTAAAAAAAAAAAAAAAAGAAAAGAAAATACAAAAATTAGCTGGGCATAGTGGTATGCATCTATGATCCCAGTGACCTGGGAGGTTGAGGCATGTAAATCACTTGAACTCAGGAGGCAGAGGTTACAGTGAGCTGAGATTGTGCGACTACACTCCAGCCTGGGTGACAGCGAGACTTTGTCTCAAAAAAAAAAAAAAAAAAATTTAAGAACTATTTGGCTGGGCATGGTGGCTCACGCCTATAATCCCAGCACTTTGGGAGGCCGAGGCGGGTGGATCACGAGATCAAGAGATCGAGACCATCCTGCTCAACATGGTGAAACCCCGTCTCTACTAAAAATACAAAAATTAGCTGGGCATGGGGCGCACGCCTGTATTCCCATCTACTTAGGAGGCTGAGGTGGGAGAATTGCTTCAACCCAGGAGGCGGAGGTTGCGGTGAAGCCGAGATCATGCCATTGCACTCCAGCCTACGTAACAAGAGCGAAACTCCATCTCAAAAAAAAACCAAAAAAAAACCACTATTTTAAATTTGTGGGCAGTGTATAAAAAATAGATGGCTGGCGGGATTGGGCTCTTAGGCTGAGTTTGTGACTCCTGAATTCAAGGAAAAATTGAGCTGCTACCAAGATGTATTCTTTTTATAAAAATTTATTTTTTGTAGAGACAGGGTCTCCTATATTACCCAGTCTGGTCTCGAATTCCTGGGTTTAAGTGATCTTCCTGCCTCAGCCTCCCAAAGTGCTGGGATTGCAGACATGAGCCACCATCTTGGCCCCAGGATATATTCTTGATGGTAGGTGGCCTTTCTTCAGAAAATTTCAAAACGGGAAGGATTTGGTTTCCTTGCATTTTCACTCATCTACCTCTCTTTTTGGTGTTTCTACCACCTAACACTATACATTCATTTAAAAAGTTTTAGTCTTTAGATACTGTCGGCTTCCAGCATTGGGGAATAGATGATGTTCATTTTGGGGAAGTGAGAGGAAGAGATTCTGTATTTCCTGGTAAGTTTTTAAAGCAATTTAAGCAG